AATTTACAATATTTTACAGACTTTCACAAAGTGACTAACTTGTCTTCATACAAAAGTACTCTAAGTCAGATTTTGAGGACAATGTTTCACTCTCCTGATAGATTGATAATGATTTCTATCTACCAGAATTATTGTCAACAGTTTGTTATTGTTGATTGCCTGAAAACCAATGAATTGCTAAGTTAAAAGAGAAAAGGGGAAGAACAATTTGGGAAAGAGGACAATTCAAGACCCATCAAAAAAATCCAAAAATAAAAATAACCTCTTTTCAAAAGAGATCTGTCTGATTGGAATAGTCTTCTTGCTTCACTTAAACCTCAGAAGAAATCTTCTTTTTTACCACCTGCGGTATCAGACGAGTCAATCCAACTGGTCTTTCATTTAAGTGAGCACCGGATTGGGATATCTCAAGGAAAGTATTTAGATCTCAGCTTTTTTCCATTAAAGCTTTGTCACCACTTGAGGAACTTAGGTAAGAGATAGGAGTTTGCAATCTACATTACCCATCACTTGATCTTTTGATGTCATGGAAGTTTTTATTGAGGGATTTGAGTTTTTTGTAAGCAACCGTTTTTAGAACCTTCTTTCTGATCACTAATGACATCATCAGAACACGTGATTATGACCAATAGAAGCTTGTTTATATTCAGTTATTAATGTGTTTCGTGTCCACCAATCATATTTTGCAAAAGATTGTATCACCTAAAATTCAGGGTTAAACTGAGATAGGCAAAATTCTCCAGAAAACCAAAAAATTTTTGTGTGACTATAAGAGGGAAAAGACAGTGATTAGATACTTTGAAATATGGCTTGATGTTTGCCACCTCCCACTGCAGAAAACCTCCATAGACATGCTTCAAAATGAAAGACTTCAAGTACTACACTATTAGTTCTTCTTTCTTGCAGAACTTTCTTGCCATAGGTAGAGAAGATGTTTCTTGACTTTTTTAGGTCACAGGAAGTCAAGTTTTTATTTGAAAACGAATATAAACAAGAGAGAGAGTATTGGAGTATCTCTTAAAGTAAAACTTTAAGTTGGTTTAAGGATAGTGTAAAGACTTTATTAGCAAAGAAATAAAAAAATTTCTTGCGAACGTCTTTTTTGTGTGTGAACAGAGGATTAGCGGAAAGAGTTTCGATTAATCAATTACCATATAATTATAAAGATATTATTAATATAAATAATATATTATAATTAATAACTTATTTTAAAATTTATATATTACAAATAAGTATATTATAAATTTTATTCAACAAAAAAAGGTCCAATTTGATTTAGCAATCAAAAATATTAATAATTTTATTAATTTTATTGAACAAGATTCCAAATTAGATTTGTATAGTAATTATATAGAAATGCCAAATTCTTTGTAGCAAAAAATTTTAAAAAATATAAGAATTGGTTTTTTTGTTTTAAATATTATATTATATTATATCATTATATGTATACTTATTTATATAAATCAAATAAATATTATTTACATAAATTATAAATATAATTTTAGAAAATAATAAAATTATTTTATAATTTATTTATAATAGTAGTTATATATAAAATATTTATTTTATTATATAAATATACTTTTGCCAACTAAGTAAATATATTCAAAATATTATGTTCTATATTTAGAGGAATTTCACTAAATTTAAATAGAAATTTATTGTTTAATTATAAATTTTAGTTTTTTATTAATATCTATATACAGTATAACATTATAATTTTTTATTAAATTTTAATAAAAATTTTACTATAGATAGAATTAATTGTAATGATATATTTACATAATTAACTAAAAGCTTTCTAAGAAACAATGATTATAAATTATTGATAATAATTTCTAAATTTAACCATTTATTGATAACAATTATAGTTTACCGAATAGATTTTTAAGTATTTGATAAAAATTAATAAAAATTAATATACCTATAAATAAAGATATAATACATAAGATTACTTAATAGCATATTATTTATTAAAACATTAGTTTTAGTAATATGTTAATATTATAATTAAACTCAAAAATTAAAAAAAATTTCATATAAATGTATCTAATGTAGTGTAAAGAAAATTTTATAGTATATAGAATTCATTGTGTAGTTTACTTTAATTAATATATAAAAGATGATATGATTAATAGAATAAAAAGTTTATTACGTAACAACTTTTTACATTTAAAAAAAGTTTCAGATTTTTCAAAATCCTCCCGTGTATCAAAATTTTCTTTTATCGAGTAAATCGAGACCCAGAAAATTTTTGATGATCGTAACTAATATAGACTATTGTGCAGTTTCTTTTATCGAGTAAAGATTGACTTTAGCATGATCATTTTTTATATAAATGGTATTTTTTTTCTTTGGATTTTTAAACCACATTTGAAACATTCTGTATATATACGGTATAGTATATTGATAAGTTATACATATTAGCCGTGGTAGTTTTGCTAAAATATTTTTAATTTATATTTAGATGACTCTTCTCGCCGAAAACAATCCAATTTTATTGGATGAAAATATTCCGCATTTCTATAAAATAATTATATTGCGATGGGGTCTTTATTATGTTCAAAAAAATGGGTTAAAAGATGTGAAGTCATATCAAAATGCGTTTTCTTCGGTTTTTAAAAATAGCGATGGCTCCATTGGAACTGATGAATTAATGGCTCTTTACGCGTCTGGTTCCAAAGATGAAGTATGGGATTTTGACGTTCAGAGTTATGGGCGCATGTTTAAAGGAAACGAATTTTCAACAAATGAATTGTATTCTAAGTTAGATACATATAAAATTCAAATCGATGACTATTGTGAGTTTTTATTAGAGAACAACAAATCTAATGTTTGTCCTAACGCATTCAACAAAAATCAAATTCGTAAAATAGAACAAATTTGTAATGTTATGGGCATAGAACATAACGAAAATGTAGATACCATGTTAGATACTATCTTAGTGAATTTGTGCTAAAATTTCACTAGATAAGATTTCAAATTGATTAAGGTTGTATTATGAAAATATAATTTTTGAGGATCGTATGAACGAATGGTCAATTGTCAAGAGTTTAAATTTACATGCGATTTATTTTTTGACCATAATTTACGACAAAATACGTAACTTAATTATAAAATTTTGGAAAATATATTTTTCAGTTGTGATGAAAATGAATAAACGTAAAAATTATAATAAGAATACTATGATGCGGTATATTTATGTAATATAATACACCTGCATTAATTTTCGAGAGAATTTTGAATGTTCAGGGTGCTTTAGTTCTATTAAATATACTATTAAAATCAAGTGTGAGATCTGTGGCAATGAAAACTGTAAAAATCGTTGAAAGTTTTCTATTATGATGGTTATTATTTTTGCGATTCGAAACTTGTTAATTGTGAGAATAATTGCAAGAAGAATAAGTGCGATATTAAAGTGGTTTAAATTTTACAAAGCCATGCACAATTTAAATATACATCTTTTATTTTACATTTTTATTTTCATTATTTATTTATTTTTATTGTTTTTATTTTTTTTGCAATACCCATAGCCAGGTCAGATTATTTTTTATTAATTAATAGAATATATAAGTATATATTCATTCAAGCAGCATAATACAGTATATACTATTGTTAAACATTATATCAAGTCTAACCAACTTTTCATAGGTATTAAAGCATCTAAGTTTCACCTTGAGAATAATTTTTCATCCCATATGGACTTTAGGTAAAAACCCTTTTAATTTACATCTCACAGTTAACAGGTTATTATTACCATATGTCTTATCAAATAACTGGAATATAGGAAATTACAAAAAAGATTGGGTTGAAAAGAGAAAAAAGGAGTATATTTAAAATACATAAATGTACAAAGAAAGAAAATAATAGAAACAATAAAAGATAAAATATATTTAGTTTTCTTCAACAATTAACTTCTTAAGACTTTTCTTAATAAAAAAATATCTTGATGTAATATTCTTTCTTTTTTAACTATCCAAAAAACTTTGTTTATCTTAATTTAATTTTATAATCATATTTATAATTAAAACTTTGTCTAAACTGTATAATAAGAGTAGAAAAACCTTGAACAGGATAAGTACTGCATTTTTATTATCTGTAACTTGTATTTGGATTTTACTGATCTTTTTTTTTTTAAAAAAAAAAGCTGGCAAAGTCATGCCATATAGTTTTTATTTAATCATTAATATCTTCTTATATACACAAATTCAATTATGAGAAAATACATTTATGATAGAAAAAAAAACTAATGACTCAGTATCTTGTGAACCCTGCGACTTGCTTCAGTTCACCTGAAAATGAATGTTAATGTGTCATAACTTTACTAACACTAATATAGTATTTATATGGAAAAGAGAGTTAAGATTAAAACTGTTTTGAAGTATGTTTTTCATATTATGGTTTGTTAGTTCTATGTACAAGTTTTTGCAATTTCTTGTTTTTTCCCCTTGTCTTGTGACATCCTTTTATACTATGTTCTATAATTATATCTTGTTCATTCTCATTTCACTTTTCTTGTTATGTCTTGTGTTTTTTCTCACTCTACTACCAATTCATATCTTAGCCTCCAGATTTTCTTTTTCTCTTGCCATAGTTGTTCAATTGTCTTTTTTATTTGGTTTTGGCCTCCTTCTCATTCTCTGTGATTTTCCTTGCAATTTTGATCATTTTATAAGTAATAGTCTCTTTAATTAGATCTATTAAGTCCACCCAGCTTCTTTCTCCTATACTTGATTTTATAAACTGTTTTTATCTGCTCTGGATGAATTGCAGCTGTTTGTTACCATTGACCCTTGCTACACACTCTTGTACCAGGATTGCTATAAATTTTTCTGCTAACCTTATCCTGTTTGGTCCACAGGTAAAAAGATGTAGGTCCTTTTTCTCATGTTTTTCACAAATTATACACATCACTGACTTGTATATCTGTGGTTTCTGTATACTCTTGTTTGCTAATATGGGATGTTTATTGAACTATATCTTATATTGAAATGTTCTGTCTTTGTGATCTTCTTGACTAGTTTGGAGGGATGTGATTTTGGATGGCATCAGTGTCTACATAATTATCTCCCAGTTTATTTTCTTGGCTTTTGATCCTGTGAACCATGTTTGATTTCAACATAATACCCTCTACTTGCTAGCTTATTTGATCTTCAGAAAAGTTTTTCCTAATGTTTTGAAGGGCAAGTCCACAAAGGACTGGTCCCATTTTAATGTTACGTTGCTGCTTATGGACTATAGCTCCTGAATCTTTACAATGTTCTTGAGTTTGTCTATTAGTGTGGTGACTGCTGATTTGTCTGCCTGTTCATTTCTTTTGATTTCTGCATGGCCTTTGATCTTTTTACATTGGATCTTGATTTGTTGTGTTGTGATGATTTCTTGAATTGTATTGACTAAGAGCTTGTTTGGTCTTTCTAGTTTCTAGTTTTTGGTCTGATCCTTCTATAATGCTTTGTTGATTGCATTGATTGCTTCTTGGCTGTCCATGAAAATCTTGATTTTTTGGGAAGGCTGATTGTATTGATTGCTGTAAGGATTACTGTCAGTTCTGCTCTGGTTGAGGAAGGGGTGTTCTGCATTTCTACTTGAAAGGTCGTAATTTCATTGCCTAATTTTAATTGGGCCATCCATCCAATTCCCATCCTACTTCTAGTGCTGTATCATATAAATAAGCCATTTGTGTATATTTGGAGGTTATTCTCTATTGTTAGTTGTCAGGCTATTTGTAATAGCTTTTGAATTATTCTATCTAAGGCTTGTATCTTTCTTCTGATAATTGCCTCAGTAGTTGACAGTGAGTCCAGTTATATACTAGGTTTGTATGTATTGGAAGACTGCCTTCTGGTTTCACTTATGGCAAGTTCTATATCTTGAGGAGATGATTATAATCTGTTTATAGATGACTGTCTGGTGTTTTGTTTCTGCTGTTCTGAAAAGATTCCAGTGATGTGTTTTCTGACCTTGATGTTTATTGAGTGAGACAGAAACTATTCCATTATGCATTGTTGTTGGTTCTTATACTTCTTTCTAAGATTTTGATTGTTAAATGGGCATCCTTTGCACTTATAAATTGGTGATGTCCCTTTATCAGTAACCATGTGATTTACTATTGCTCTTCCTTTGTCTAGTTGCCTTCTTTTTTTCACTATTGTTGTTTTTCCATCCTTCTTTGTTGCTAGCCATTTTAGAGTTGATTAATGTTGAACTGGAAACACTATAGTGTTTGTACAGAAGCTGTTGATCTTGGGGCTGTTGTTACTATAGTTTTCTCTGAGGCTTGGGTCTTTCTTGTTTACTAATAGTGTTGACCATCTCTGGATGATTAGTTCTTTTAGTTTCTTGTACTATTTAGGAATTCTTTCTTACTTCCCAAGTCTCATTCTTATTTGTTGTCAAGATAGAATTCTTGTTTTGTTATCATTCAAAAATTGGTCTTTGAACATTATCTTTCGGCACTTGAGGAAGGTTCTGTGTTTGTTGTACCATTCCTCTGTGACTATTTCTTTGATTGTTTTATCCTCATTTTTTACTGATTTTCTGAACTATGTGTGCACTGTTGATGCCAATATAATTCTTTATAATTTTATAATATTTAAAACATTGTTTGTGAGTTGTTCCTTTTCCTAGTCCAGAAAGAGAGTTTGTCTGTAAGTATCGACATATTTGATTAGTAATTGTTTTGAAGCTGTTGAAGTCTGATTTGGGTAATTATTACACAAAGGATGTAGCTGTTAAGTCGATTCATTAAGTTTTTCCCATGTATTAGAATTGTGATCTCACAGGTTAAATAGTTTGTAGCTAAAGTCTGCATAGAGAATGCTGTTTGGGATTATTGACGAGAGGCTAACTTTGTGTTTGAATGTTTTGTTTATGTTGCTGCTTAGCTTGTTATATTCCCTCTCTGACAGAACTAAGTCATTAAGTAGATATTTGATTGTTGAGAATAGGACCTGATTGATTATATATCGTGTCTGTTTGTTATAATTTTTTTTCAGGCCAGTGTTCTAATAGTGATATCTACTTTTTCTTTGATGATCTCCTTCTGCTAGGTTTTTTTTTCATCTTCTGTTATCCATATCCCTAGAATTCTTATTGCTTCATTTTGCTGCACCAGCAGGATCTGTACCCATTAAGCTGTATGCTTTCATTTCTTTGTTTTATGGATATATTGATACAAATCAAAAAGGATATCTAGTTGTTTACCTGTATGTTGTTTATTTTGAGGAACTCAGTGGCTTTGTCTAGAATGGCTTGCATGTTTGCTTTATTGCTTGCGAACCATATAGTGTCATCCATGTATACTGTAGCTATGATTCTTGCTTGCCTTGTTATTTTGTTGACAATTTCATTTTGACTTGGTGAGGTCAAGTCAAGAAACACTTCTGTTTCCTTTGTGTAGCCAGTGTGTTGGTCTTTGATTTCTATAATAGCAAGTCATAATACACTCTCCAGAGAATGTGGGGGATAGTATCTTCTTGATTTATTCCATCCTGTATTGGATATTCTTTGGTTAGGCTATGTGCTGTAATTACTTTGTTATTTCTGTTCTCCAGTATATTATTTGATATTTCGATTATCTCTTCTAGAACTCAGATTCTTTTCAGTACCTGAATCAATATATCTCTATTCATCGAGTCATATGCCTTACTTATATTTTGACTGAAAATCCAGGCTTCTTTTTTGAATTCTTTGGCCTCCTTCATAATATTGTTGAGAATATGAATTAGCTTCTATATACTGCCTCCGGGTAGTCCCACTCAATTGTTGGTGCACAGTATCTAATATTTGGTGCAGATTGTCACTAGTCTTGATATCAGAATACTCATAAATACTTTCCTTGTTGTTTCCAGTAGTGTGATAGGTCAGATAATGTTAATATATCCTATCTAATTCTTGGGTTTTGGGATCAGATAAATATTTTCATT